TAAATTTTGCAATCCTGGTTCTCCAAGAAAAAATGTTCTACGTTGATACGTTCGATGCAAGGTAAAGTACACGGCGCGTGTCAGTTAGTTTGGGATGGAGGGGCTTAAATTCGCCATAAATTCGCGGGGGAATTTCAGTATCATCAACAGAAGCGCGACTGAATTCCGCGAGAACTCGGTGTACGTGAATGCAATTTGATTCATAAGTTGCGCTCGCAATGAAGTACACTCACGAACCCAGGGGCTGTCGGTGCTCTATTTACGTTCCCGTCCCTCCCCTCGCCGTGTTTCCCGGCTTTTAAACGAATTTCTCAGGACGACGTTACCACCGCCGACGCTGGGACCTTATGCTGTACACGTCCCATAAACGGGAACTCGACTGGAGGACTCGGTCCGCCTCATCTTCCAGGAGGGTTGGAAACCTAGTCACAGAAGACATCGACGTAGAGCAGAACAATTTCTGCGAGAACCACCCCCTCCTCTCCTCGTCTCTGCATGCTTTTGCTATATTTTCTACCATTCTAGAGTGTTCTTGCTATCCGCTGTACCTTTACTGCTCTGTCTCGATTGCTTTCACTGGTACACCACTTCACTCTGTTACTTTTGATGGGCATGCTCATTTTAGCCCTCAGTTAGAGACAGATACGAGCTATAAAAGGACACTTGGACTTGGTATAGTTGAATCAAAATCACCTGGACACTCAGAACCTAACAGTTTTTTCAATTCTTCTTCATCTTTAGTAGCATTTTTAGAGCTAGATAGGAGTTATAGACCCTCTAGGATACTTGGACTTGGTATAGTCGAATCAAAACGACTTGGACCCTGCTAACAACCCCTTTACAGAATCTCTGATGTCTTTGTGGAAATCAAACAGAGAAGCTAGAGTAAAAGTCACATTTGGCGTCTCCATGAGTTTCCTTTGATTAGGCTGGATTTGTCAGTTGAGCTACCTAATATTGTGAGTAGTATCAGAGAATAAACAGAGTCTTCCCTGTTGCAGGTTCTCCCTTAGCTGCACCCCAAGGGTAAACAGTGTTTTGTACACATTCTTATAATTGTTACTTATCTCCCCGCCTCCTCAGAGTCCATCTCATAAATCCTGCTCTTCTGCATTACCGTTCCCAATACCCTGTCCTCCATCTTCGTGCCTCTTCCCCTATCCTCCAGGTTCTCGTCAACCACAGCTCTATTCATTATAGCATCTTCCTCTTCCCAGCTCTGTTACACCCAAGTGACCTTTTCCTCTTCTTGCTTCCTTCATACATCACCGTGCAATCCCTCTCCTTTCAACGCGTCCTCTTTTCCTTCTGTTTTCCTTTTCTTGATCTTCGTTCGTCTCAACACCATCGCCTCTCCTCTTCCACCCACGTACCCACCTTCTCCCCAAACCCCTCTGCCCTGTCCTCCTTTCTTTTCCTTTCGTCTCCTCCTTCATCCATCACCACCGCCAGGCTCTCCACTCGTTCCCTTCCACCCACGCTTCCTCTCCACGTGCACGTCCAACAGTAGAGTCTTGGTAACCACGTAGAGCCGGGTCTCTCGCTAATGTAATGTGATCACGTAGCTGGTAGGACCGTCTTCGAAGGCTCGCGGTGTTACAAAGGAGAGGATTTCAATATCCTCGCGTCCCTGTGCCCAATATTCCGCGTAACTCGTGCATGCGGACAGGGGGACGCGGTTGATCGACGATGCAACGCGAAAAACGTCAATATGGGCCCCGGTAGACGTCTTCCTCTTATGGTCGCAATGTTTCCCTGCTTAAATCATCCGAACATTCGAAACTGAGGACCTCAAAGACACTTAGAATTCACTAAGGCATCCAAGCAAGAAAAGAAGACGTCTTTGACTCAATATTTTACTCAGTTTCCAATACTCCTGAACTATTGCTCTATGTTTCCATGCCTAGCACCTTGCGACAGTCCTTCTGAATCATTCTACCAAAGATTTAACCACACAGCAGTCGCAATCCATGCGTACATCGACATAATCAGAAGTCCTCCGGAGCTAAAGTAGCCACTTGCCAAAGACTAAACGTTCGCTAGCGCATTGTCCACGCAATATTCTTCGTCATTTTCATATATATTATCTTGCAATAGCCTTCTCGAGTCCCAGTGCATCGATTTCAACCCCTCTGACACCCGTATTCCACTCGTCATCCATAAAAATATTAAAATCATCGGAGGCTAACACAAGCGTTCCGTTTAGAGGGCATATTTATTTCCCGGACGGTCGTTTCGTCGGATCTCCCTGATACTATTCATGAGAAATTGATCCTTCGTTCAGGACAGACGGAGATTAAAGCACGGGGAGCATAAAGGAAGGGGGGCGGAGAGTTAATAAACTTTCCACAGTATTAGCGGGCGATGGCGATTCTCTCGATATTACGTTTCATTGCGAACGCGGGCCGCCCACGAAATCTTCCGATCCGCATTATCATCGAAGGGAATTACATTGCCGCGGGTGAAGTGTCGGGGATCCCGGAATATATATTCCGCGGCGTGGAATTACATTCTGATTAACGGTATTATTCTTCGGGCCCGGCCGGAATCGACGATCAAACACGGTATTGTTGGGAGGAACTGGTTCGAGCGAAGAGAGATGATGCCTTATCGGGACACGAGTGTCTCTGGTCAGCGATCCCCTCGCAGCCGCCATGAAAATGTTGCTGGCGAGCCTCGTATGCTATACCACGTTCGTTGTTATGGCAAAAACATTAATACGATGAAGTTACGCTCAAATAAATTTGGGAAAGCAACGAACGTAAAATTTCCAAATGGATCGTAGAAAATTAACCCGACGATCTATCGTTCGGTTCATTCCGTATGAGTAATCGAGAAATAAGTGAACGTCGGGCAAACTACTCATACAAAATGTCACGGATCGATCGATCAGCTCTAATCGAATTATCAAGGTGGGAAGAGCGTTCCAGAAATAGGGATTCTTTCATTCCCAACTTACTTCCTTCTTCGTTCCCGTCCCGGGGAATCGAGTGGATTTCAATGTTTTCTCCGATATCATTAGTCGCGAATGCTCCGATTCACCGCTGGATCGATCAAACGTGGCTTCCCGACAGCGAAGAAGTCACCGACCATCGATCAACGGAACAAACGAGAAATTGACACGATCGAACAAGCTAATGGATTCCCGAGCGATCCTGTAAACAATCGGGACCCGGGCTCGGTTCAATCCCGAAACGACAAAGTTCCCGTCGTTGTTCTCGCGCCAGGAGCACGTTTCCTTCCTAATAGCTACAACGTTCTATAATTAATTTCAACCCTTCCGGGAATCCATTACCACGTGCATTTGGTCCCACAGATATCATCTGCGCTGTAGCGAAACCGCGGCCCCATCGAGAACCGCGCTGTTAGGCCACGCGGGCTGTTCCATTTGATACCGATGCATCTCTCCCGGTTGGAATATCGTCTGGACCGGTCGATGGGCCAGTATCGATTGTTGTTTTAATTAACCGCCGAGAGCAGAGTTTAATCTAATTTATGCGGAAATTAAATGGATCCGATCGATCGTCACATCGCTCGAGCGAATTATTTTTCAACAGGCCGCGAGATCTCGTAGAAATTTAATCAGGCTAGTGGGATATTATAAATCGCTTAAAAACGTGCATTAAAAAGAGGTACGGTCAGGGAGACCCTGAGGAATATCAGAAATCGAGGCAGCAAAGTAATTTAATGGAAGCCTTTGATTGTTTACTTCGACTTGCAATCTTTGGGGTCGCAGAAGCTTCTGGAAATTGAATTAGGTATTGTCTCTATCGGAGAAAAATTTCATTAAGGGAGGGCGCTTTGATTTAAAGGAGACTCGATAAAGTTTGTGTATTGTAAGTGGAAGTTCTTAAACTCCGTTGCAAACTCGTAACGCTTTGAGGCGTGGCTAATATCTGATCAGATCCTCCTCAAAGTGAACATTCTTTTTAAGAAAAATGTTACCTTTGCTGCTGGCGGGATCGTGACTGCGTCCTTTGTGCCGAATCAAGTGGTTCGAGGCTTAACAAGAGAAACAAGACCCTGAGTTACATTTCATCCTCAGGATTTTCATACTCATTGTCAGTGAGAATTGTTCTTGGAGTCCAGTTACTAGGTGACAGACTAACTTCTCGTGTGAAAAACTCAATCAATCGAGGTTGCAATTCGTTCAGACCTAAATCACTCATGGGAGTCAGTATCAGTCCCAGTGCAACTCATACTTGGGGGGCTCAATTGTTAGAAACGAGGAGCTACGTAGCACCCACACTTAGATATAACATCGCCACGACATAGTTGGATGGATGTTCATCTTGGTCGGATTCCATCCGACCTGTCCCCATAGTCATCCTTAGCACGTGACGCTGACGTCTCAGTGGTCTGATGGATTCAATCAGATTTCACAGGCGTTAGACTCGAAGCCGTCTCAGGGCTGAAATCGGCAGGGTTCGCGGGAGCAGAGGACTCATTAGTCGGGGGCATTTCGATACAGCGGTTGGAGCGGGCATTAAGGAAACTTATTGCAAGGAGCTGCCTGTAGCAGACAGTACGCATTTACCGGGAACCGCAGACTAATACCTACCGATCTACTTAATCCTCGAACCCTTTAGGACGTCAGTGCGCGGCGCCAGGTAATTAGCAGGCCCATCAACAAACAATGGATACCAATTTAGCTCGGGATAATGGTGCGCCGGCAGGAAAGATTATCCCTTCTATCCAGCAACACCCGAGAGAGCCCGTTCGCTCGCGGCTGCTGCATTGAAATTTGTCCGCTGATCTCTGCCAGCGGGTCTCGAGTATCGCGTGTCGTCGCGTCGAAAATTCAGACCGGCCTTTGTCGGGTCGAATGCGGTGCAACGTAGATTAAGGACACTTGTACGCGGTGCCGCCTTAACAAATATGCCGCGTATCCACGCCGTGCACGAGCGACTCCGTTGTCTGTGAATAACTCGGGCCATGCCGATGATAAATCAATACCCGTACGCGTTAACTATGTAACGGTGGTTACGCGAGATAGGAACATGGAAGAGTATGGGGTACGAAAGATACCGAGAACAACGGGAACTAGGTCCAGAACGAGGAGAACAGGCTCAAGAATCTTGGGAACATCAAGAATATCGAGGCTGGCAAGGATAGCAGGAATAATGGGATTGATAGGAACAGCAAGAACAGTGGGAACGATCGGGAACAAGAAAAATGGGGTCAAGAATGACAAGAATGTCGAGGATAATAAGAATAATGGGATCAACAGGAACATTGAGAGTAGTAGGAATGATAAGAACGGTAGTAACAACGAGAGTAGCAAGAATAACAAGAACAACAAGAACATGAAGGGTGTCAAATTCATCAAGAGTCATAAGAACTGGATGGAGAACAAAAATGGACTGGGAGGAGCATATTAGAACAACAAGAACAACAAGAACAACAAGAGCAACAAGAATAACAAGAACATCAAGGATGTCAAATTCATCAAGAGTCATAAGAACTGGATCAAGAACAAAAAAGAAAAAAAAACAAGAACTACAAGAACAACAAGAGCAACAAGAGCAACAAGAACAACAAGAATAACAAGAATAACAAGAACAACAACAGCAAGAATGACAAGAATGGTGAAATCAATAAGAACAACAAGAACATTAAGAAGATGGGGATGGCCAAGGATAACAATGAGAACAAAAGCAAGAACTACAAATACAGTACGAACAACAAGAGTAAAAAGAAGACTTGGAACGTCGAGTAGAGTTCGTGGAAAGTGTTTGAGTTGAAAGTTTGAGGAAACTGACGACGAGCAGTTCACAAACGTCTCCCAGCAGTTCAGACATTTAGTTAGCTAAATAGTACCGAGAAACGTTATTCCACGGAAGAAAATAGACTCGCTAAATTGCGACTGTCTTATGGCTAAAGGAGCAAAGACTCGCTAGGAGATCGAGGCACCATCAATTGGTTCCGGAAGCTCCATTACTGTTTGTTTCAATTGCCGGGAAAAGGCGATTAATTCTACCTAGCGAAGTCAGAGAGATTACGAGTATAATTAAACGCACTTGCCAGGGAACAAAATGGCGTGATTTAAAGGTCTTTTAAGACCCGCTATTAGTGCCGCTGGCATTACGCGAGGGACATTATTTGACGGAATTTTCATAATTCTCGCGAAGGAGTCTCGCCCTTTCTCGGGACGAAAAAGTGGAAAGAAACGGGGCGATTACTTTTACTCCACCTATCCGTAATGCAAAAATATAATTTTAAAGCTATTAAAAACGTAGAAGTTTAAATTAATATTTGTTAAACAATAAATGATATTGTCACATAAAAAATAAAATATTTCCAGTTGGGCTGTACAAAATTTTGTCCAAAGCATCGCCGAGTATTTCTCGTAAAAAGGAGAGGAACTGTTTGGCGCAGAAGGCCCCCCCCCCTCCCCATAAAGAATCCACACTTGGAATCGGTTTTATGAAGCCGAGACCAAACCCACGCACCAATTGCATCTGGCTCCTATAGCGGCAGCTTGGGACGTCGCCAAAATTTGTTTAAAAAAGTCCTTTATACCGGCAATAATTCTTAACAGAGCATTAGGGGATGAAACATTCAATTTGATCCGCGTATAAAGTCCATATTCTAGCTGGAATCAAATATGTATCTTCAATTTTCAGTTGCCCGTCAACCCCTCTCCCCCACCCCTTGACAAAAGTTTCATCAAACGAGTCGTCGAACACCTCTCGAATATTCCTCGTAAAAAGGTGTGGAACAGTTCGACGCGAGAAGCATATCCCATAAAGAATCCACTCTTGGATTCGGTTTTATGAAGCCCGGGATGCAACCTATGCACCAATTGCATCTGGCTCCGACGGTGCAGAGCGTTCGCGCGGGCACACACGGGAACGAATATGGGGGGGGAGTGGGGATGATTTCTGCGTTGCCATATTAAATTTCATTTGGGTATCCAGTTTCGCGCGCGGATGACATTCTTTGTCTTCTCTGCCCGGCGGAATATTGCATTCTTCCGGAAAGCTTTCCTTCCTTTCCGGCGCCGGGGCGGCCTCTCATCCGGTGAAATGAAATTCCACGTCCAATTTGCCATCGAGCGCGCGGGCTGCGGACGGTCCTGATAGAAAAAAAGAACGACCCGAAGTCGTGGAACGAAACGGGGAATCGCCTTTCGTCCTCCCGCGCGGGACGCGCTCGTGAAATTCGATATATAGGGCCGCAGTAAAATCGAAAAACCGGCCCCGGCGTTGTCTCGACGGCTCCCCAGCCCGCGTAGGAGGGAATGAACAATGCTCGCTGGCTTCCATTTGATACGATTCAGCCCGATTCGCGTCGTTCCTGCTCCTTGGATGAGGACCGAGGATTTAAGGAACTTGGAATTTTTTTTAAATAAACTAAAATAATATCTAATATTTCCACAAACGAGACAGCCTGTATGTTCCGTCAGAACATAAATACCTACCAAACAAAATTTAATTCCCATCGAACAAGAATAGCAAGAGTTATAGACACATCACAAACACACAGACTCGAACATTGATATTAATAATTACTGACGAGCTATCATCATTAGCCTCAATAGAGATAAAGGGGCGATAGAAAGGGATTGTTTGACGACCTTTTGTTGCTTCTGAGAGTAAATATTAATGCAAACGCGACGTTTGCAGGGCAATGTAGGCGCGTGCATGGGAATAGCAGTGATCGGAGGAAATCCACGGTATCGGAAAACTGTCTTACGATATTCCAGTCACCGCGAGCTGAATCTTACCATTTGCTCTTACGACCTGCCCTTCCCCCCGTTTTTTTCCGAGTCTCCGGGCTTCCTCGAAGTCGCATCGGTAAGCTCGCTGGCGCGGCTGGTGGAAAATAATGCAAGTGTCGGGATTTCCACCCCCGCAGCCGCGGCGTTCGAACCCTCCCCAGAGAAATTGACCAGGACCATTTGCGCGCCCGTGCGTTTTGGCATTTTTATTCCGCCTTGTGTTCCGTAAATGTATTCGAGCTCGTTAGCCAGACGGTATACAAAGAGCGAGTATAAGCGTTGCGTTGAAATTATGGAGATCCCATGCAAAATTGCTTCTTCCCATTTAAATTTACAAATACAAAAGTTGTGATCTGAATTCAACAGAGGATCCCCACGAAACGAATTGTAGTTTAATTTTTACCCAAGAAACTCACCGGGTGGTTAAAAAACTCTTTTGTAATTGTTTTTTTTCGAGAAGTATTGGTAAACAATAATGTCAACATTGTGATCCATGGAATCGAACGAGTTTAATTCTGCTAGGAGTCGGGTTAGGTTCATTCAGTCCCGATGCTCTGGAGCACGGAAACTGATCTAATTATATATTCAGGAAGCATGACTTCGAAAGTCATGCACCAACTTAAATGTCAGGGCACGAATGAAACCCAGTGCATGCGCAGCGTTCGATCGAGGTCAGACCATGTGTCTTTCCGTATCATTGTCTACGAAGTCATTATTCCGCGTACTGGACAGCTATTACGCGTATCCTTCCGTTGATTGAGACGACGCGTGGTGCGTGCTAACGCGTCACTTCGGCAACGTGCACCGCCTGTCAAACGATACTTATGTCAGCTTGGAACGCCCAACGTCGGAGTCACAACTTCCGTAGTCTGCCAGAGAGCAAACAGTCCCAGACTATCGATCCCATCAACCGCAACGTCAACTTTCCCATACTGTACAGGGATCAAACCAAAAACCATCATGTGATTGCAACCTTCAAAACAAATACACCTCCTGAAGTCTGTGATATCTAACTCCGATGCTAAACATTTATCAGATTCAGTGTTTGAGCTTCAGTGTGTTGTCTGACACTATCAAACGCAATATCAAACTTTATCATACCAGTAATGTCTGAACTTAATCCCAAACATCAAGCAAAATGATTCAATTCGACGTCAAACCTTAGTTCAAACCATTACATACAGTGTCAAACATTCTCTAATCAACTCTAAACACAATACATTTTGCTTAGTGCACAGTGCAGATATCTAACATCAAGTCTTTCGTAGTTTCCAACATTCAACACGTTCAAACACGACGTCAAACATACCAACAACTCATATTGACTATGATATAAATCTTTAGTTTATTACTATCGAACTATTAGATCAAACATTCCTCAGCCAACAAAGTCAAACATTGCTAAATACCTGTGACGAGATATTTCTTCACAAATTAGCTCTGAATTGTTGGTGACTCACCTGAAACAAAAAGGAAACATCGATTCAGCGACAAACAAGAACAAACCTCTTGAAACTTATGAAAAAGTGACTAAAAAATCCAATAGCGAAGTCACTCGATGAAACGCAAGATACGAAATCTTGACCCGAATGGTGCATTAGCCGACTCATTTGTACCAAATTTAGTTCCTCGAACCTGCTCGACTAAGTGCGGAACATCTGCGCGAAATCGTTAAGACCGCCCTTAATTGACGCTGCTCTTAATAGCAGGGCGCAGTTTATTCTCCTGGCAAATTCACGGGCGTAGTAATGCATACGTAAACGCGGAGAGCCTTCCCTTTCTACTCGATTTTCTCTGTGCATATTCGTAAGTGAATGGAATTTACCTCTCCGCGGAATTTCATTTTCAGACTCATCCACCATCGCCCAGTGTCCGCCATTTTCTACGACCAATCCCGTGCAGACGCAAGGGAACCAGTGTTGTCACTATTTCCGGTCTATTTCATTGCCAAATCATGCTCGACGATTCGAGTTGTTACTATTACTGACCGTAGATTTGTTACTTGAGAATTTCTACTGGATCAGGAACCTTGACTACTCTTTCAAGCAGTCAGAAAAGTTCGAGTTCTTATAAATTTATAAATTGCACCTGTCCAGACGTTATGGATTAAACGTTGTTAAATATTGTTGCTAGAGGATAAATCAGGAATGTTGTACGATTCAACCGTGACATGACCTTTCAACGGAAATGGCGAAGAATGGAGGAATTCCTTCTCGAAGAGATAACAATTTTTCATCCTAAGGGGAGGATTCTGTATTCCATGACGAAAGACCGTCGCTCCTACCGCGAAAAGGCAGTGAGAAATGGGGATGACTCGCAGAGAGGGCGAAGATACTTGACGGTGGATCGAGAGGGCCACTTTTTCCCTGGAAGATCCTATATACTTGTGTATACTGATGAAATAAGGAAAGAAATTTCGCGAAAGGAACGCGACTCCGAGACGTCTGCGTTATCGAACAGTGACAAAATCAATTTGCACAGAGTGGAGGGTGGAATTACATCAAACAAGGTTCCCGTTGATTGCTAGTCTTCGCTATAGATCACCTGGACGAATGAAAATCTGAAGATCCCAGATGTTCAAGATACAATTATCTCATTTGTAGAGACTTAACAATAGTTAACTCTTTCATCTGAGAAGCACAAGAGTCCTAAAACATGCGTATACCTAGCATCATCCTCAAAGAGACCTAACCTTTCCACCTAAGAAGTCAATATCTCTAGATTCTGAGGATTTCACATCTCCAGGATCGATATACCCCAAATGATCAGCTACAAATAGACTCAACAGAGTCCTAAACCCTAGACTCTAAGAGTACCACACGTCCAGTGTCCATCATCTTTAGCAAGCCTAACTATAGACCCCTAACATTGCAAGAACACTAATCAAATCCTTTGACACAGGAAGATTAAAGATATCAAGTATCTAAGATACGCCCCAGGTCGTCCTGAACACCCAGTTCAAGAAAATAAACGTCATCCTTAACTCCCCCAATCAT